GCTTTGTCGAGATTATCTTTGAGTGTAACAAAAATTAATTCATGATTTTTTGTTCGTTTTGAAATTTGGAACAGTTGATTATTGTCTTTCATTGACATGTCACTTAATTCGCGTGCGAGAATATCTTGTGTTAGACTGTTTGTCAGCGTATAGGGAAGTGTTCGTACAATTAACTTACTTAAAAAATCATCAATTAATCCTTGAATGTCTTTTGTCCATTGAGCCCGTTTTTTTAACAGAATATAGTTCGTTGTTGGACCAACACATGTGATATCGAATCCATCATTTTTTAACGATATTTTTCCACTTACAGGTTTCAATTTCTCTCGTAATTCTTCGAGAAGTGGTCGATTTTTTAAAATAAATTCATATCGGATATCATCCTGCGATCGATAATGTAATGTTTCGGGCAATTTGGCTGTGGCAATGTCAATGAATGGCTCTCTAGAATAAAAATATACAAGACATAACAGCTGTGATTAAAATCGTTGATTGTACTATACTTACATGCCCATATGCTGGTAGTAGACACGTACATCGAGACGTTGTTGGTGAATAATATGTTCACGTTTCAATACACGACGAGCGTCTAAACAAATCTATAGTTGCACGCTAGTTTCCAGATTTAATTCAGGATATAACAAAGTTGTACATTAATGAGTCTTTAGTAGCCGTCAATGTCATTGATTAAGATATGCCGCGTAAGGTTGAGTTAGTCCGAGTGCGAACTGAAGGTTTTAATGAGGATTTGGACTTAAGACTGAGATTTTTTTATAAAGATTTGGGTTGTTTTATATTTCGTGTGCAATCGGTTCTTATTTTTTCGCTTTGTACTTTGTTGTTCTGAATTCATATGTGAGCCATACTCGTATGCAAATACAATTCAACAATACTCTAGTAGGCTATCCTTAACACTATTACCTCGTTTATAGAGTCCTGCGGGTTTAACGCGATCTCGATTCCAACAGGTGTTTTTAGGGTTCGGGACAGGTTTCAGTTCATCTAAACGGGATCGAGTTTGTTTCCGACCCCGATTCTTCTATTCTGATATAGGGGAA